ACGCTGCATGTGAGCAGCACCAGAGATGTCCAGTACAGCCATGTCCAGCAGACTTAGAGACCTGGAGCCCTTCCCAGCATGGTCCAAGCCACGTACCAGGCCAAGGGGAGGACCAGGATGGGTCCCCTGTGCTCCCTCACCTCCTCACAGGCTGAGCTCACAGAGATGACGGAGATTTTTCCCAGTGGTTGGCACTGCTATGTCTGCATTTTTTCCTTCCAACTTCACAGGCCTTCTGTGGACTAATCTCCAGCTTTTATTTTCTTGTCATGGCTTGCTGCATTTTCTTTCAGTAAGTGTTTTCAAATGATTTCATGAAGTCATGGTTTTGGCTCATTCCAGCTGCTGGTTTTGGCTGTGATGCTGCTGAGAGGGTGAACTGAGGTCAGCGAGAGCCTTGCTTGAGTTTGCAGCTCAGCAAGCTGGTGTAGCCCAAGGGGACCCAGTCTGTGGATGCTCCTGAGGGGCTCTTTATACTGGGAATGGAAGAATTGGTTGGATGTGATTGCAGAGTTTAGTGTTGATGGCCTGGTTCAAGTTAAAGATTGATAGTCTTGCTACTGGTTTTGCTGGGAGGCGTCTTGGATTTGGGTGATTACATGTTTGTTTTTGCTCAGGAACATCTCTGGTTTGCCTCGTTGTTGTTACTGTCAAATCTTTTTCTCCGTGTTTCTTCACTGAGCTCTGTGTGCCAGATACTGGGATTCATGCTGGATTCTGGATTATCACACAAAATTAGAGTTACTCAGTAAACATTAGGTCATAAAATTTTGCCACAAGAAACTTTCTGCTGAACATCTTCTCTCATCACCTGCAAAAACATTGGAGGGTTGTGCTTGGAAGGACATTTAGGGCTATCCAGCCTGTGAAGCAAGAGGCCAGCTCTGGCCTTCCCGTGGATGTCAGGAACAGCCAATGCTTTGCAGGACATTTTCCAGCTGTTTCTCAATGCAGCCGAAGGGATCGGGTGAGAGAACAGCTGCCCTTCCAAAAATCTTGCCCCCGCACAGCCTGCGTGCGTGCAGAGGGCAGCGTCTGTGTGCTCCACGCACTCAGCTTTACCCCTCCTGCTGCAGAAGTGCCTCATGTATGGTCAGAGACATGGCTATGGGCTACTTATTGCAGAGATGAAGGCTGAGCTTGCAATTAAGGTCTTCAGAAATCCGGAGTTCTTTGTTTGCTTCGCTAGGAGTGCCATCAGATAGCAGAGGTGGCGTGAGACGACTGCCAGCAGAGAAATGTCAGTACTGCCGAAGGCAGAGAAGGATTCATGGCCTTTTGAGCCCTTGAGAGGTCATTACAGGTTTTTTGGGTTTTTTTTTCCTGACATGATGGACAACACAAACTAAAACTCCCATCTACTTCTTTGTCAGTGCAATAATTTCTGGTGGATTCAAGTAGTGTTTGAGAGGATTAGTTATTCATCTGAGTGGAAACTGGCTTCAGAAATTTCATCCTTTAATTGTATATGTCTCTTACAGTAAGGCAGGTAACTGTTCCAGTGCAGAGCATCAGCACTGTCTCTGTTGGAGTCACCGTTTGTTCACCTGCTTCTCAGCCCAGTTGTCAAATAAAGACTGGAACCACTTCCCTGAGAAATCACCCTGCCTTTACCAAGCTGTGATGGACTGGGTATTCCCAAAATTCATCAGGAGGTTTTATGTAAGGGAAGAGCAGCAATGGCCAATCTCTCATTTTCTGTCATGGCCCCTGGCTGCAAAGGCATTGTGTGTACATCCACAGGCTGCAGGGATGCTGTGGCTGCCCAGAATACGGAAATTATTTCACATACCACGTGGTGATGTTGAAAGAAAACATTTTTAGTGCCGATTGCCATGCACAGATGCAATTGAGAGGTCTCAGCACAGTGTACAATATATTTATCAGGAGTGTAAGTTAACAATGAGAGACTGACCATCCGTTGAAATGGTCGGAGCAGATCAGTGTGAGTTTGACTGCCATGAAAAGGAGGCCTCTTCGCGCTGCATTAATGCTCTTTTTAGAGTGCATGACTTCTATTCACTTTCAAGGCCCTGCTAGTCTGTGTTGGGGATTGCAGTATCTGGGAAACAAGCTTAGAGAAGCCTGTCCAGAGTGGTTTATGGTGCTGGTGGATCACTCCAGCCCTTGCTACCCTTGTCAAAGCCATGTTATCACAGAGCAAGAGGGGCAGCAGCACTGAGCTCATGCCTGACAGCTGGAGGAGGTGCTGTTTGATCGGGTGTCCCATAGGTCAGCTCACTCTGGTTGGAGGCAGGGATTAATTTAGAGGGGGTTTATACAGCCCAGCATCACTCTCAGCAGCCAGCTGGGAGTATGCATTCCAGCAATGGGTGAATTTGAAGGCTTCACTCTCCTCATGCCTCCTTTGGACACCAAACATGGGGTAAATGTTACCTAGAGTTACCTAAATGAGGTTTCTCAGTCTGCAGGTCTGATGCACAAATTGGAGCTGGCCAGTTAAATCTGAACAGTCATTTTGGTTTGAATCTGTTTTGCTTATTCAGAGTTCAAAACAGCCCACCTCAAGGGATGGTCCTTGGCTAATCCTCATTGTCCTAACAAAAAAGGGTGTCTTAAGCATCCAGGAATGCATTTATGTTGGCTTTCAGCTTGTTGTATCGAATGCCTTCACTTGGTGCAGTTTTGGCATCATGTGGCATAAACCAAGCAAATAGGAATGTAAACAAACTCGTATATCCCTGGGCTCTGAACTGGTCTGGGAACGGGCAGTCCAGTTTAGGTTTTGGTCTTATATGGTTGAGCATGAATGGGAATCCAAGCAAAGCATGTTATCAGCCTTTTTCAGAGATTATCTGCTTTTATTAGTGGTATTTTTTTTACCCTTCCAGATTTAGCAGAAGCTTCCTGGTATAATGGAGTCAGCAGTAGAGCAAGTGCCAGGAGACTTGTTCCCAGCTCTCCTTCTCTTGGTGTGGTCTCTTTGGACTGTTTTGGTCTATACCACTCCCAGCCTTGATCTTGTTTGAGCTTTTTAGGTGTTCCAGCAATGCAAACGAGAGCTAGCAAGGTGCAGGTGCCAATACCCATCTGTGGGGACAAAGAAGCCGGGCAGGGAATTTCTAGAGAAAGACAGGACTGACGGGAGATTTCTGGCCTGTTTTGCAAACCAAAAGAAATTTAGTTTGAGGCTTACAAAGGCTTATCTGAACCAGATCTCTGAGAGATTTTGGCTTGACCCATTTCTGGTTTGGAAACCAAGCTGTTGTCCGGGGATTGGTATCCCACAGAAATTTTGGGGTAGAGTCTTTTGGGCAATTAATTGTGTTTGGGTTCTGCTGATAGAAAGGGAGAAAAACAGGTTGAAAGGGTTGGGAAGGCAGAGAAGTTGTGCTTGTCCTTGGGCCTGACCCTGGAAATGCAGCATAACTGAGGGCTGAAGAGTCTGGAGAAGCATGGGAAGGTCCCAGCTGCAGAGAGGTTTGCGCCTGTCCTCGCGACTGCTCTTACAAATCTGGATGCACTCAGCATCTCTTTCTGCTGAAGTTCTGGGGTGGGATGGTGGAAACCAGTCCTGCCATAGGGAATCCCATAGCAGCACACGTCCCTGAAGGGCTCAAGAGGTCAGGCTGGAGCTGGGGGTTTTGTGCTAATGTCAGCAGAGTCTGGGGTCCCGCAGGGTCTCTCAGCTGCAGATGCTCCATCTGCTTTGGCTCTGAAGTCCCCTCGGGATGGGATACTGGGGAGACTTCTAGAATAAGTCTGGCAGTCATCTTTCTTTTCCTTGTCTTTGCTCTAGGTAGGGAATGACTAGACCTTTTATCCACTCGTCCTAGAATTTGTACCTTCTGAAAAGCTCCTGCAGTCAGAATTAAGTTGTTCTCTCACCGCACCTCCCCTTCTCTTCATTTCCCCATTGCTGAGATGCAGCAGACTTGGTTGTTCCCGAAACAGTGACCGATTGTCTGGTTTGGCTGGTTCAGCTGTTTGCTAAACATAATGCTCTTTCATCTTCGAGGAAATCGTCTGGACACCTCCACCGGAGTGGAGCTTGCTTTATGCTGCTGTTTCAATAGGCAAATTGAAGCAGCTATTTTCCCAGTTCAAACATAACCTGATTTCTCTCATGAATTAGGAATACTTGAGGGGGCATGAAAGATTGGTTTTTACTGAATTTTTAGGAACTATAATCCTAAATTAAAAAGCCAACTAGCTCTTTTCCTGCCTGCGGAAAAAGATTCCCCCCCCTTCAGTATTTCCCTTCCCCCTGTGAAATATCCACAGCGCTCACACTTCATCATTCCTGTCGGGACCTAAAGGGCACCCATCATGGCCCTCTCACGCTGTGTCCATGATGTACAGCTTCTCTCATCGCTCCTTGGCAAATCAGAGCACTTTGGCTGAGGTCTGAGATCTCTTTTTCACTGGCAGCAGAATAAAAATGTTACGAAAAGAAATCCTCTTTTAGCGTTTCATCATTGAGAGAGAAGACGGTCACCTGTCTGTTCTCCTCTGCTCAGGGTTTTGGGAGGCTCTAAAAGCCGGTGCCTTGCTCATTTTCCTCTGTTTTCTGAGATGACAGGAAGGAAAGCGTAGGCTTCTGGCTGCGCTTCAGCAGGCTGAGGTTTAGGAAAAAGACATAGCTCAGGACTGACTCCAGTCCAAAGCCTGGCTGGCCGGTGAGCAGCGTTTGAGAGCGAGCTTGTGTTCCTGAGAAATTAATACAGAATTAACCACCAAAACCACTGTGCAGCGTTTATACTGTTGCAAATGATGCAATATAACTTTCTTTTCTTAATGTGGTAACCAGGGATTTAACCAAAAGAAAAGGGACCAAGGAGAAATACACCCCGACTTCTTCCTCTAGAGAATGAGTCAAGTTCCTTGCGTGCGGTTCCAGTACAGTGAAATTGAGAAGTCTGGCCAGCAACTGGGTTCAACAGGAAAGCTGAGGACAAGCTTTTGTGCGACTGCTAATAGGTCCCCCTCGCGTGGCCCTGCCAGATGGGAGGAAACAAACAGCTCTTTTTGTTTTGCAGTTCATGACGAAGAACCCCAACATGCGGCTGGGCAGCCTGGGGCTGGGCGGCGAGAGCGCGATTCTGCAGCACCCCTACTTCAAAGATCTGGACTGGGACCTGCTAAACCAGCGTCAGATGGAGCCACCCTTCAGGCCCCGAATTGTACGTGGGAAGGAGGCGTGGGGGAAAGGAATCACATTTTTTTAATCTTCTGGGCTCTATAAAGCAGGTTTATTCCTGTGAGACAGTAAAGGAGATGGAGGAAGGGAAACCTTGACATGAAAGCCCTGGCCTGAGAGCCAGGAGGTGAGGTCTCTGGTCTTGGCTTGGCTGCTGGTTTGCCACCTGATGTTACAGGTCGCTTTTCCCCTCCATGCTGTATTTTCCAAGGCAGCTCAGCCAGAAGATGCAGGTTTGTAAAAGCAACCGCGGCAGATTGGTCGCCTACCTACCCTTTGCCTTGTCCCAAATATAAAACGGGGTAAGTAATCCTCATTCTGACCACTCCAGCTACCTCCTCATGACTGGGCTGTCACTCTTCTGTGTCTGTCTGTGCAGCACCCAGCAGTGTTCCCTGCTCAGACTGCTGTCAGCTGAGTGGTTCAGGTGGCAGGTAGGCTGCAGAGGACACAATCCTGCTCCTTTTCCCAGTAGTGCTACACACCCCAAAGGATGCTCTCCATGGAGAGCCTTTCCAAGGTTGTCTGTACAGCTGCCTTGCCTTTGAAACTGTCACTTGGAGTGGCTGTGTCTGATGCTCTGGTCCCTCATAGTGGTAGTAGTCAACCCAGTCCTGCTATGTGAAGCTCACTGGGTGTGGGTCAGGCACTCGGAGGAGCTGTGGCAGCTCAAGATCAGGCTCTTGAGTTGTTTCTTGATCTGAATCAAAGGTTAAGGGATCCACATCAGTCTGGCATGAGCTGGACAGGATCTGGGAACATTAGACTTCAGTGTCAATAAAACATCTTGTTCTGGATGCAGGGAAAACACACATCTTGTCGAGATGTGCCACAAACCCTGTGTGTGTGTGTGTCCATTGTAAACAGTCCCACTTCACTGCACGCAGCAAGGAATCCAGTGCCTGGAGGCAAGCCATTTGTCTTCCCAGTGATTCACTGTTGTGCCAGTTTAATGGCTCACACTTAGAGAAGTGTATGCCCCCCCCCCACCAAAACCCAGCTGAGACATTCGGCAGATAAGGAGGGACTGTGCTGAGTCAGCTAATTGAAAACACGGCTGATAACTGCTACGAACGGCTGGGTCTGTGCTGACACTTGAGGAAAGGAAATTATTTATGTCCCCTGCTCTGCCGTGTCTGGGCAGGCAACCCATCTGAGGTGGTGTCAGTTAAATCAGAGAGGGGTTTGCCTGTCAGAAGCCTGCAGAGGCTCTGAAAAGGCTTACACTGGAAGAGGCTCTGTGGGGGTACTCAGCTGCTCCCAGTGCAACTCCAGAAAAAGCCTTCAGTAAGATGGTGTTGATGGTTCATTGCACTCAAGACTAGACTGAAGATGCAGAGTGAGCATCAAGCAGCTGATTCATACTTTTGACATCTCTTTCCTTTGTCTTTTCTGTCTGACAGAAATCCAAAGATGACGTGAGCAACTTTGATCCAGATTTTATAAAAGAGGAGCCCATTCTGACTCCCATTGAAGAAGGAATCCTTCCAATGATAAACCAAGACGAATTTAGAAACTTTTCATTCACGAGCCCAGAACTGCCGCAGTAGCTGTGGCTCTGGGAAAGGGCTGCTGAGAGGAGTGGGGGAAAATGAAATGAAAACCAAGTTTACCAGAAATTTCATTCACAATCAAGGAGTAACAGTGCACTGACTTTACGCAACACAGCAGCACCACTGTCAACATTACCTTAATGTGAAATTGAAACCTTCCTGTGTTTGCAGGGTTTATGCAGATCCTGGATCAAATATTGACAGGGGTGGAACAAACACGGTATTGTACATAGCTGATGCAGACAGAGAACTGAATGCTGAGCTGGTTGGCTCTGCCTCAATGTCACCGCTTGCAGTGGATTTGAGGAGTCGGCGTGAGCATGAAAGTGTTTTGCAGCTCTGAGCCAAACAGACTTGTTGCACTTCTGATTGTTTGCGAGGCTTTTTTGAGGAGTCCCAGCACTGCCCAGCATTTTGGAGCTGTGACCCAGCATCCCGTGCCCTGACTGAACCAGATGTTCCTACTGACTTTACCTGTTTCTGCAGTATTTATTTCTTTCTGAAGGACAAATGGCTCTCTCTGTCACTGTTCGGGTTTCCATGTGAAATATTTCATTGTGCTGACTAGCAGAAGGAAAAAACCAAATGCCCTGTGCCCCACACAGACTCTTCCAGATCCAAGGGAAGCCACGTGCTCATAGTGTGATACCGTTTGTGCGACATGAGAAGTTTTAGTGTTTGCATTCTGTGAAATGCCTTTTTACATCACGCATCTTCAATGCTCCTTTCTTTGCCTCCCAGCTGTTTTCAACTATAATGTAACTTGTAAAACCTTACTGTTTTATTTAGCCCCATTCTATTTAATTACACTATACAGAGCCCCTTTTGTGGGTTTAGTGCCTCATTAAAATTTTGATCCAGAGTGGTAGCGCTTAAATTATCTGTAACATTATTCCCATGTTTGCCACAGAGCTGGCAGCTGCTTGAAAGCAGAGTTGTCAACCGACAGGTAACACAAAATGACAGGTTTCTCCTGTGAGAATGATAAACTGTATCTAAGAAACAGGCTGATTTGGTTTGGTTTGGATTTAAGGGCTTATTACTCACAGGGCACTTCTTATCAGTCGCAGCCTCAAGCCTGTGCCACAGACAGACTGAGACAATTTCTCAGTGCACTTTGTAGAAACCAGACACTCCAAGAGATGGTTCTGTGCTGTCCCTGCTCTTCTGGACGTGAGATGACTTTTCTGGAGCTCCACAGCACACCTTTGCACTCCTTGCTGGGCTTTAAGCTGTATGTCAGGATTATAGCCTTTTCCTTGGGCAGATATGAATTACTGGAGAACATGAAGGCTTTTGAACCTCTTGCAGAACTGGTCATGTCTGTGTCGTGCTGGTCACGTGCTTTAACTGGAGAGATGGCGGAGGTGCAGCAGACAGGGACACCTCTGCACAGACCTTGCATTGCTGCAGCTGTGGAGATAACGTAGGGGAGCAGAAGCTTTTGTCAAGGAAATTACACAGGTACAACCCCTGTTACAGCACAGACCCACCAGTAGGTACCTGCTCACCTGCTGTGAGACCAAGTAAGAAATAAGAAATCAAAGCTGAGGTTGGGTGACACCTATTCCTACCCAAGCTCTGTCTACTTGACAGAGTCCCTTTTACTTCTACCCCTAAACCATCTGCTGAACTGCTTGGCAGCTGGGGCTCAGGTTCAGCTACCCTTGGACTCCTCTTTGTGCTTGTGTTATACCAGTTCTCCTTCTTCCTTTCCTGGATCTCCTCCTTTGTGTAAGCACAGCTTCATCATCAACAGGCTGCCCAGGGAAGTGGTGGAGTCACCATCCCTGGAGGCATTTAAAAGACATGTAGATGTGGCATTTGGGGACACGGTTTAGAGGTGGACTTGGCAGTGCTAGGTTAATGGTCAGACTCGATGATCTTAAAGGTCTTTTCCAGCCTAAATGATTCTGTGATTCTGTCCTCTGGTCTCGCATCCCTTCCATTGGCATCTTCTGGCCACATCACAGCCAGCCAGTCTCTCATCTCTTTGCTAGTCTATAGACACCCAGCTCCTTCAAAGTGTGGCAAAAGAGGAGGAAAGACAGGTTGTATGGTATAAGTGGGAGACGGAAGAGCAGATAGTCAGAAAAATGATCCAAGAACCAGTTGTGTAGGCTAGCCTGAATTGCTTTCCCGTATAGGAAGAAATGGTACAAGGATGACTGCATTTGCATGAGGGGGCTACAGTAGCATCATATTCACGTGTGAATTAAGGGTAGTGTTCACCTGTCTGGTGCAGACATGACCCCAGGCAGCTCCTCGCTGTTTCCCACTCAGCTTCCCAGCGTTACGACTGCAGCAGTGCTCACTTGGCAAGAGGTGTGCGCAGCCAACCTGACCACCGAGAGTGGCAGCACCAAAACGTCCTATAAATTTTATGTTGACAGCTTTTTGACTCTACCACTGTTGAGGATTATGAACGACCTCTCCTTCACTGGAGATCAATGCAGCAGAACAGTAAGCAATGCGCTTTTTTGCCAGCATGTTGCTATCATCCTAGGGTTTCATTGGTTGTGTTAATCCTCTGGCTCTAGAGACCTGGACTGATTCCTGCT